GAGCGTTCTTTTAGCTTGTCATGCTCGTCGTGAAATAGAAGTGTGCTTCTTCGATGTAGAGGTTGTTAAGGCTTCCATGTAGTGAATCACACAACCAATTTTCCACACTTTGACATTGGTTAGTGGTTCGCTGTTTTCTTTTTGAGCGAGCACGAAGTTGTTATTGCACTACTTACTAACAGTAGTTGATGTTTTGGCCGTGTCGCTTTCTTCAGAGTTGTTTTGTTCTTTACAAGCCTTCCAGTCATTGTTGGTGGCCGGCTTCAGAGATTCTTACATTAGAGGGAGACTTTGTGGTTTGTCTCCAACAGTAACTGGAAGAGTTATAAAGACTAAAACGACTATGAAGAGTGCGAAATCGCCGAGAAGTCAACCAGTGTGAACGGACAGTGTAATAACAACTTCGTGTTTGCCCATCAAGGTAATAACGAAGACTTCGATGTATAATTTCCAGACTGACTGTGATTTAACCTCGGTAGTACTAATCAGTACCTTCTTGGATTGTTAAACATACGCGTTTATTCGGTCAGTGTTTCGACGTCTTCGACTTCATCAGAGCCGATGATCTGCGTCGATGGTCCACAATTGTTTGTCTTCTCGCTGTGGCGTCTTCATCGTCGTAAACAACCCTGCAGCGCTCTTTTAGACAGGACGGTTGTTGTTGATATGAGCATCTTGATAAAGACTTGTTTTTCAAAGGATAATCCATCCTGCAGTGGTCGGTATTGTATTAGCTAGCACATAGCGAATAGCAGAACAATGATTTTCAAACCGACAATCATTTAACCTTAACTCTAACTAATTTTAACTTCCATCTATTTTCGTTAACTCGGTCAAAGGATTCTTGCATCATGGATCCAACTCTACCTTAAAACTAGTGTGCGTACTTCTACTGTAGACCCAGAGCTACAACAGATATTTGCTGCTGGTTGAGTGAGACATTATCAGGTCGAAGAAGATCAGCTGAAATGATTTCTGGTCGTGGAAATTTGGCTCTCTTCATACTGGTGATCGCAACTTACACCTAAATAAGACTAATCCTGAGTGGTTTACGCCAGAAATCTAGTAGGAGAGTGGTGCAAGGGGAAACACGGAGGTTTTCCGTTATCAAATTCATATTATTACGAAAATACACGTCTGACTGGAACCGGTAGATTTCTACGATTCTAAACTTGTAGTATGAGAAAGGAACCGCTGTCTTGGTATATTAGGCAGTCCCCGCAGGTCTTTTTCCGGCTCAAATATGGATTCAGCTACCTTTTGTTTATGAAAGAGTAAAGTGCATGGCACATTCCTAAGGAATTAATCGGGTTCGAACGTTTTATCCTTGACTCTTTATCTTATTATTACAGATTTTCGTAAATGTCGCGAAAGCGCTCCCTTAAAATGCGATCGGATTGTGTCTTCTTGTGAAGCGTCGATTCCGCCGTAAGCTGAGAAAAACTTACATTATAACTAGTAGAAAAGTAACTATGTGCGACGAGAATATTCACAGAGGATTCCTTTCTACATGGGTGACTGATTAACGATTACAAGCTGTTTTTTGAAGCACTCCAGATATATGTGTGTGTGTGTGTGTGTGTGTGTGTGTGTGTGTGTGTGTGTGTGTAGTGTCTTCAGTGTAGATGTTTGGATCGGATTTTCATCATCGGCAATGATTTCCATGAGGAGAGAGGTCAAGTGATACACTTGAAGGAAGCTAGGCGGACACTAGAGTTGGAGCAGTGAGGAACTGAGGGAGTGGATGAAGAACGGACGAATGCTGCGAACACTTGCATTCCTTTCTTTTCCACCGAATAATGAAAGAGCGGTAATAATGAAAGTGTAGTATATAAAACATGTCTAGGTTCTGAGGAAGACGGATGCTGAAGGCTGCCTGTGTTCTGTAGTGGGTGGAGCTTTGCCAGAGCGAACTAGAGACAGCGCTTAGAGAGAGGTTCTAAAGGTTTTTCTACTAGCACAATATGATAGGACTACATGTGAAAGGGCGCAGATGCTTGTTCAGAAACTTCTTTGGGACGGTAGATGCTGGAAAGTACATTCAGTTGACTGCTGCTGATATCCTTTCCAGAAACCTGCGAGGCAACTTCATGAAATGGTCGCTAAGAAACAATTCACAGATTGTGCGAGAATAGATGTATAACGATTACAAGTAAAACAGTTATTGTAGAAAACATAAGGTAACATAGAAATAGGAGCTATTTAAGGAATAGTTACTATAATTTTTTCATGGCAGGCTATTAGGTGAAATACAACCGCAAGAATGCTGATATATGAGCAAAACTCGAAACCTCGGTTGAGCTTCGAACCCGCGATGACCTTTTCTAGGGTCTCACGTGAAATTCACTGTGTCCCTTCTTTTGCCCTTCTCTCAGCCAGTTTTTTCATCCTAACGATGGTATCAGCAATACTCTTCACAGGAAATGATCTGGCAAGCACAAATCGGCATTAAACTCAAAGAATTAAATTTTAAGACTTTAAGACTTAAGGACTTTAAGACTTAAACAAGAAAAAATTAAACATTAAACTGATCTTCATTAACACTTTAACCTTTCTTTTCCACCGAATAATGAAAGAGCGGTAATAATGAAAGTGTAGTATATAAAACATGTCCAGGTTCTGAGGAAGGCGAAGTCGCCGAAATGTCAGCCATCGACCAACAACATCAACGACAACGACAACGACAGCGAAGACCTGTACCAACTTCGCATCAGCTTAACAAGGTCAGTTTATAAGATCGTATAAATGAATGTACTTCGTCACTTTTTGAAAGTTCTCTTCAAAATCTCGTGTATCTAGACTTAGTTCTAAACTATTTCGTATAGCAACTATTGCCAAAATAGTTACTATTCTTTCACCTTATCATGAGTCTGTGGTAACCACATTCGTTGTCCCTCATATCGCTTTGCGATCTTGCAGCATGTAAACGTTTTCACTTCATTGATAGAAACTTTGGTTGTTGTAAACATCCTTTGTTATCCACACTCTTTTTATGCAATCGGAACTTTTTCTGTGTTGTTTCTGTTCCAAACCATCACGAGTACGATAACACAAAGGGCATGAAGTTGTCTGGTAAATCGTTCTCAGTGATCTGATCTGATCAAGAGGGAGCTGGAAGCGGAAGTTGGCGAATGTTTTCGGTAAAAGTTCTGGACCTGCGCCAAAGCACCACCTCCTCTAGAAGACATTTAAGTGCCCCCCCTCCTGAGTCAATATAGTATTCGCTCTCCTGTTTAATCCAAGGTGTTAACTCTCTCGTTGTCACTGGTCGTGGTGCTCTTATAGTACGTGGTCACTGTTGTATATTAACTTTGCTGTCACGTTCCTCTAAACACGCTAACTCTATTGTGTGTTCACATTAACCTCATCGCAGTATACTCATGCGCTTACATGTATTCTTTAATACGCTAACCTAATCGCAATGTACTTACAAGTTAACATGTTACCTCATAGCAATGTTATCACAAGCTTAAATGTCGTCCTTAATGTGTTAACCTCATCGGGACGACATCACAGGCCTACATATAGTGTATAACCTTATAGTATCGTTGTTTGTGATTCAGATATTACGGCCTTATATAAATCCTTCAATGCGCCTAAATCTTGTGGTGCATTATACACTGCGCCACGGAGACCATTGCTGTGCTTTGCTCTCAGCTAGTTTTCTACCTAAGGCTGCCATCAGCAATACCGCTGACGGCCGATTCACTTATGGGATCAAGCAGAAATGTAAAGGAATTATGTAAACGCGGAGTCGCTTAATCTCATACATCCAAAGGTTGGTTTTTGTCTGTCTTCGGCCTACTGCGATCTGCAAAGGCATTTCGCTGTCGGTTGTCCCGTCACTTTACTCGTGTGCATCGTGGCTGCCCTTCATTTACCAGATGATGTCATTGTATAGGATGGATGCATTCATGTGAATAACTAGAGAATTCATGTTTATCTCAAGGCACAAATTATATTGTCGTTGATATCGTTGAAGTGAGCAAAGTGTAGAACAGGCAATGCACACACAACATACACACATTAATGAAAAAAGAAGCATCTGAGCCATCATATTTACATATAACGTTCGATGATGTAACCACAAAGAAATCGAAAGAAAGCTTCTAGTATCAGACTGTGAGGATCTTGGCTCAAAAATGCGGTCTACGGTATCCTTTACTCTTAGCCATCAGGGTATTTTTCATGGTTCTCACTGTACAACAAAGAAATTGCTCACATTGCCTTTGCTCAATGATCTGGAATGTCCGACAACGCACACGGATGTAGAGTTAGCGCTAAAGAGCTATTTTGTAGTGGCAAAAATAATCTTTTCGATATAATACATCAATTTTTCACCAATCTATTTGCTTTGGGTCTTTCATTAGTTGCTGATACAATAATAATAACTAATTAACTAATCCTTCCCAACGGTTTACCGCCTCATCGTGGTTGGAAGGTGCTCCTGGGTGTGGGACTGCGATGTACAGTGGGGATTCATCCCTTAGCAGGGTCTCTCAAGCTCAGAAGGAGTCCGGCGTTTCCATTAGGAAACCTAGCTAAGAGTAAACCAATACCAAGATCCACCACCGTCCTGGTATCAAAGTCGCATGGTGGTAAATCTCCCTCTGATCCACAAGGGCTGTGACTGCGTGTGGTGATGAAGACCTGGGGCAGACTTTAGCCACGCTGCCCTCGGGATTCAAGGGAACCACAATGGCTTAACCAGCAGATCTCCGTAAAATGGTGGTTACGCCGAGGACGCACAACCAGTGAAAACGGGCAGTTCAAGTATCAAGTAAGTAAGTGGTTAACTAATCTAGTACCTAATTTTATTAAGTAGTTTAGTAACTCAGGTAATATAACAAGAAACTACAACCCTGTTGACGAGTTTGCATGTAATGACCGGATTTACGTCAGAAACAATAGAACACGTACTTGCTACTTAAAATGAAACCATAAGCTCATCTACTGGATATGTCAGATTAACCGTTCCTTCGTCCCGAATTCAACGATGATCATACCCAAAATGGAAGGACGTGTTTTCCGGTGCGGTTAATGTATTGTAATTCTTCATGCCAATAGTAATGCCAAAGAATATAATTGAATATGTGATTTATGCCGGTGCCGATTCCAAAGTACAAAATGAGCAGGCTGAGATGAGGATTAGTAGGGTGTAGAATAGCGATAAGTAATTTGTCGGCTGTAGCGATGGTGAGAATCATCAAACCGAAGCAGTAGGCGTTCTGAATGATCAGCTGCGGCCACAATAGCAACGGATGCGGATGCGGAACACCGAGGCATGTCACTGAAATTGCGGGAGAATCAATGGCATCAATGGCAAGAGATACCAGAGAAGTAAATCCACTCAAATGTAACATTTTTTGGTAAACCACTGCACGTCACACCGAAGCCATTATTTGGAATCTCCCTGGCCATCCAATTAATGTGATGCTTGTTTGAACATTCGCTAAACTTTATAATAGGTAAAACGTCTAGAAACTGCGTTTGCCAATGAATAAAATTTCATTGGAGTATCGTATCATATTCATATTCGTGGATAAAACTATTCACTGGTTCCGTGAATACATGATTCTCCTTTAATTGTAGAACTAAGGGACCATGGGCGTGCTTGTTGCACTGTCGCCATCATAGCTTTATTGAAAAGATAGCAGCTTAATTGTCTTCGTTGAGGTCAATTTGTTTTACGGTACCTCCGCAAAGATGGCAATTCATCAGTGCGAGCCTTATCAAAACATCATTGAAGCCGTTAGTTAACGTATGGTTGTATGAGTTGTTATAGGGGCTCAATGCACACAGATTCGTTGGTTCGATCTCCTGCACCAGTTAAACCAGTCAACTGAAGCTCTCCATTCTACTGGAGTCAACAAATTGTTTCCGGAGTTGTCTATGGGAATAAGAACACAGGGTTCAATTTGGTAGACCCCACCATGTTACTGGATAAGCCAAATATGTAATTAAGCATCTCTGCGATGCTTAGCGAAGTCGCATTTATGTCGCGTCTTTCAGAGATTCACTAGCACCGAGCTCTTATAGGCTTTTACTTAGTGAATAGAATGGACTGACCGATTGTGATAGCCAAGGCAGCCATTTGACCTATACACCAGAGACAACGCATGTAGCCACCATCCAGATAGTTGGCAATGCACTCTTGTACCTATAAAAGCTTCATCTGTGGTTCAAAGAAGCTTAAAAAATGTGCAGAAACCACCTCGCCACCTACTTCAATCAATTCGTGGAATAATCCGAAATCGAAGATGATCACATCAGCACTCATGAAATCCGCAGCATTGGGTGAGGTTTCGTTGAATGAGCATAGGAAGATCTAAAATTCATCTGGGAAGATTTTTAGTATCCTCACTTCGCTGGAGAATGTATCTTATTTATAACAAAATTTATGACGATGTCAGCAAAACACTAGTCCGCTTAACTGCCACGACCGACTTTCTATTAACCTCGGCATTGATCAAGTTATTTTCTTCGTATTTTTGTTGAGCAAACGCGAGGTGTTATTATTCTTTGTTCACGATTAAGCTGACGTTTCGGCGGATTACGCCTTCCTCAGAGCCTGGAAAGGTCAAGTTGATAGCAATCTACTCGGCCAGACGCCTCCATAACCAAACAAAGAAACCCCAAACCAAGATTTCAATCACTTTGAACAGAGCTCTGCACACTCACCACTTCCTATGAGGTTTCCACTAAGTATGTCACGTAGAGACCAACCGCACAGAAATCACGTGGAAGTATAATGTGCCCCTCA